CAAAAGATAATATTTGGTTGCTTTGTAATAATGTTTCCAATTCTGGAAGAGTGTTTCAAGTCACAATCAACAATGCACAATTCCAGTCAATGCAAGCAACACAATTAAAGGGGGAACAAATCAATGTAGCTACCGCCAAGACTATGTATCAAGTAAAACAACATAACTTCAGTTCAGGAAGGTACATGGAAACTCGATGTTGACGTAGAAAACGTAGAAACTATAGTAAAATATGAATATTGCCATCTCAGTTGCAATCGAAAAGATTAACAAAATGTTCAACTGAATGAAAAAATAGGAACAAACTACAAGTGTATACGTGGAGGGATTTTCACTCACAAAATCTTCAAAATGAATTTGTCATACTTTATTTTCCGGTCCGACTGAAACAGATAAAGATTGGAGGTCCCAGTTTTTTGATGCCTTACATAATTATTGTTCACCCTACTTGTCTCAAGCGATGAAATGGCGGTCATAATCGTCTAAACTTATTAAGTCATATGAAGAGCAATTACCACCGCAGGACCTTGGGGGGGAGTGAGCTGTAGCGAAAAGCGAATCCACCAGCATGTGTCAGCCTTTCTGGTTAGTGCTGAATTTCTTGGTTTTACTAGATACCATCTAAGGGCGCTTGATCAAGCTACCTGACCAGCTTACGTTTCCATACCCCGTAGAACACTTTCCGTAGCTATAAGACCTAGACACTATAAGCCACCATATCTCTGACTAAAATTCATGTACATCTTTTTCCATTAACCCCGACTTCTGGTTTTACTAGACTTGAATTCATTTCATTGGAAGAAATCTCTACCGTATAACTGTCAAATCATACGTGTGCATTACCTCTTCATGCATCGATCGTGTCCCATATATTCACAAATTTACACGACAAAAGCTGCATAAGTTCGGGTTGTCTTGATTTCACCAAAGAAAAATAACATAAGATAACCAAGGATCTCCCTGATATTATTTCAGGAAATGACCAAGTCCTGTTTATCATGCAGAAAAACTTATGATAATATTTACCATAAATCTTCGGGTTGTTAAAGACTGTTTAGTCCTGAAAACGTTTGGGAAAGGAATGGGTAATCGGTAACCTAAATTACCGCCCATAACCTGGGACTTGAACCTTGCTTTTATTCATATAATGAAACTTATTCAGAGAAAGAGTAGAGAATAGCCGTCCAATCATAGTGGGAAGGTTCAAAAACCGCGATCCCATAAATTTGAAGTGGGGTTCCATTTTACTCATAAGAAGTCCTCCCTAGGAGTTTTATATACAAATGCTCATAATCTGAGAGGTAAATCCTATGAATTAGAAGGATTAGTTTCTCAAGCCTTTGGAATTACTAGCTGACACAAAACAGCGTCTTTTCGGTTTGCTAAAACAGTAGCGATAAAGAAACTAAAACCTGATTTATGTTCCCAAAAGGAGGCGGTAATAAACCTGTTACTGCCTTGATAAACCATTTCTTGTCATTATCTTTAATTTCGTTAGTGTTCATTTTCTTATACTGTCTTCTCTTACTAAATCTCTAATTTCATGTACATTATAACCACGACTTCACTTCTATGTTTCCGTTCACTTCATTCTCTTAACTCACGTAAACTCTTCAAATCCTACTCAGTTATTACGCAACCCGTCTTATCAGTTTTTTCAACCCCAGGAATCTTATGTAAACCATCCGCAGTCTCTAAAAGTATCATGGAATTTATTATATATGTCTCTAAAATTCACTTAATTAATGGATCATCAGCCCCTTATGTTTTGTTTTAGATTCCGACACTAAATGACCTTTGACCTCTTCCTGCACACTTATATAGACTTATTGTTGATAACATTTGCCATTTCAATGTTTTTCATCCATCTATGTCAATTGTTTCACACTTTACCTAACTTCAATGTAAGAATTTTAACACATATTTGGTTGTAAGCAGCTAATGCAAAACCACAAAATATAGCGAATTCATACTATTCTGCATCCATGTTCGTTCTGACTTTATTTGTACTTGCGAAGTAAACCAATTGCATGAAATATCCTCTCATTCACTTTGCACTCCCATGATAGTTGAACTTGTGAATGCATCAGCCATGAACTCTTTATCGGATGTTGTACACTTATACTCAGTCTCATTTATCATGGCCCAATATGTTTAGTTGGTGACTTTATTTTAGAGCTTATTCAGCTGTGGAATTCAACTAACAGATGCCTGATATTAACTTTAAAGCATTTGATATTGATTGGACTGAAATGATCACCGTAGGATATATAAACACCTTTGATAGTAGGTTCTTGATATTGGGGATGGAGTATGCTTCAGTACAGTATGTATCCGAAACTACACGTTTTAGTCCAAACCAGGGATCTTTTTTTGGACTTGATAATCACTCATGAGACTGAGAATATTGCCAGTCTAAATATTCTCCCACCGTTAGCATACAACGATTATGCTGTTTTGTTATTGAAATTAAACCTCACTCAAATGCGTGGATAGCAAACAAATCAGCCCTTCAGGAGTGCTCTTTAGAAACAGACTGGACATTAGATACTAGCTCGTCAGTTAAAAAAGCATTGTCCACATTTGAAGGTAAGCTAGTTCAGTCACACTTTCATTCATGCTATTCTTGGCACCACATAAACCAAATAACTGAAGCTCTACTGCAGATCCCAAGCCTGGGTAAAGGAGGAGGGTTAGGCATGGGATTAGTGACCCCATCCCGTACAAAACTAACTCTCTGAAAAACGCTAGCCAGAAAAAAATAATTCAAACCATCTAAACTCTGCCATGGGAGTTAGATGGTCTTCATTTAGAAGAAATATGATGCCTAATGATGAAAGCCGAGTTCCTTCGGAAGTCACGAGGCCGACGCCCCTTCTGATGACCAGAGTAACAATTTTTATAGGTACATGAAACGTCCGGACAATGTGGGAGACCGGAAGAGTCATTCAGATTGCTGTATGGACAACTAAGCAGGTCATGAACCTTCTTGGACGTCGAAAAAAGCATTCGAATACGTTCATTTCTGCAGGCTTAGGACAGTATAAGTTCAATTTTGTAAGACTGGAAATGATTGTAAAGCGTTAATAATCTAGACTAGACAGTCATGAAAAACAATTGGATAGGGACTGTGAAAATAGTGTGAAAATGTTCTCGTAAATTAAAAGGCGAACTCGAAAAAGTGATGGAATCCCATCACTAATGGTACGAAACAATCCGTTGATATTGGCAAGAATTGATGCTGCAGAAGCTGAAGCTTTATCGGAAAATTTTAGTAAAGTGTTTTTTACAGGCAATGAGGAATGACCAGCTATTAACAGTGATCAAGGCGGCTTGTCGATGGATCCTGTGTTTATTGAGAATGGAACTGGCGAAACATGAATTCGGCATCTCAAACTCCACAAGTACAGTGGTCCTGACGATATTGACTCTAGGATTATGAAAGTCCTATCGGATGTAATTACTGAACCCATAGCAATACTGTTTGCCATGTCTTTGCGATGTCCAGACTGCCAAGAACCTGGGAAGACTCAATAAACAGTCCGGTGTATAGGGCAGGGAGCAGAGACTCAGTTGGTAACTACTGACTCGTTATTCTGACCAGTGTTGTGGTCAAACTGATGGAAATGACCGTTTGGATGGTTATTTTAAACTGCGCGGAAAGGCATAATCTTTTATCCGAGGAACGACACTGCTTTAGGTAGGGACTATCATACTTGACAAATCTGCTCATCGCAAGGGAGGATTAGGCTGCAGCAAAAATATAGATCTCTCCGTAAATCCAGTTTTCATAGGTCTAAGTAAAGCCTTTGACAAGGTCTCTCATTCCTGTCTTAAATTAAAACTGAAAAGTTTTGAAACCCATTATGAACTGGATAAGTGGCTTTCTCAGTGATAGATGGTGGGTGAGGGTATATTGTGCCCTTTCAGAGTGGGAATCGGTAAGAAATGGAGTTAACTGAGGTTTAATCCTCGGTCCCCTTCCTTTCTTGATCTTCCAACCGTAGCAAAGTCATCCATCCTACTCTTTGTCGATAACCTAAAGATTTGGAGGCCCATACACAATATGTCAGATAGAATAGTATCACAGGAGGACCTAGACTCACTAGTCGTATGGATGGGCAGGTGGTCACTAGAAATGAATTCTAACAAGTGTGTGGCGATGCAATTAAATAACTATGACGATTCATACCACTATATGATATGTATAGTTGTGTTACCTAAAGTAATGGATCATGAAGATCTGGGAGTTATAATAATCAGCGACCTCAAAACTACGACTAACTATGAGGCTGATGCTTGAAACGACTTCAGGGTCTTATGAGCTATTTGTAAGTCTTTTCAGTACTTAGACGAAAAAAATGTTCGGGGTGTTATGCCCGAATTTCGTGAGGCAGCATTTGAAATACGGGTTTCAAGCGGATATGCTAGAATGAGTCCAGCCTAATCTATGAGGATAAACTAAGACACTTCAGATTATCTTACCACAGACAACGGGGTGATCTAATATCGGCTTATCGCATACTGAACTGTGGCATTGTTATCAATGTGTCTTATTTTTTCCTTCCATTTGAGAGGACATTCTAAGGAAATTCGAAATCCGAGATCAAATCATTTACGTCCGGAGATTTGTTTCTTACACCGGGAAGTGAATAAATGGAATTCTCTACCAGAACACGTAACATCAGCACTTTCTGTCGATTCACTAGAAAAGAGAGTGGACCAACAAAATGCTACAAATTGCAAGGATTAATATAGGTTGATTGACCTCCTGTCCTTACTATTGAGAACTGAAGACTGAGTAGTTAATGACTAGAACGCACGACCCGAACAACTGGTATCGGCCACACCATTAAACATTTTCAAGGATAAGTTGAACCTTTGCTGGAAAACAAGCTGCAAAGATTAACGCAGGTCCATTAAGCTTCTATCCTCATTATTGAAGAACTGTACCATTGTTCAGCGCAAATTCCAAATTCCTACTGGCGTGTTGTTGTGGAATGGCTTTACGTACTCATTTTGAGGGCGTTAGTGATATCGGTGTGTTTTCCAAACTTACAAATAACTACTGCTTGGTTTCTGTTGGGAGTTCCGAAAACTCTAACAGGTAAACTTGTCCAGTTTTTGCAGATCGTATTTTCAGTGTATTCAGAGATGAACTTCCAGAAAACTTTCCTGTCATTGATACAACGATTGCTGGTATTCGAGCTGTTGGGAGAATGACTGTAGGTATGTTCTGATAAATAATTTACTTGGCGTTTGCCTTTTTTGTCTTTATACCACTAAACAAGGTCGATTTTTACACAGAATACGACCTAGTATAGGTTTGCAGGGTTCAAGTTTTCACAAATCACCAGATAATCATACCATAATTTGTTTGTCTGTATTACACTCTTAACCTTTCGTCTGCCTACTTAATAACTGGCAATCTGTGTAGTGTTTAATAGTCCGAAAAGTGTCAATTTTTGTTACGTCTCATCAGTTTTAGTTTGGAAAGGACAAGAGGTTAGGTGGCCTGTGTCAGTCTTGGCAATTGTGGTCTCTCAGTTCGACAGATAAAGTAGTGAGTTTCATCCGTTGATGATTCGTTAAGAAAGTCGATAGTCAGCTTACAAGTGGTTTGTTCTGGGCTTGCACTTTCTGAAGAGTAAATTGCCTGTTTTGGGAGACACGAAAAGTGAGGGCATATCAGATGCAAATTTAGCAATAAGTAATTTAAAAACTGATCAAGTTGCCTCTGTTTCTATAAGACAATGGAAATAGGTTGAGATGAGCCAGTCGAGCTTTGATGTTCTAGGAATCAGCTTAGTTGCTGTCCTTTAGATTTTTACCAACAGCCGACTGCCTCTTTATAGGTAGGGGCTAGCCGCTTGTATACAGTACTCGAGTTTATGACGAACGGATGCTGTACACAATCTAAAAAGTTTAGCATCAACATGCTGAAGACCATATGTAATAACCATAGGGTTTTAAAACCTCCAGGGGCTATCGCAAGTCAGCGTGCGGTAGTTTTTAAGTCTTGGCTAGCAACGACTTTTTAGTAATTGTGTCTGGATAACAGGTAGCTCAATGCTATTCACCGTGTATGTATCTGTACCTTAGTGACCAATATACATAATGCACTTGTAAAAATCTGTGGGTTACTTCCAAGTTTGAGACCAGTCAGATAATTTCTCCAAGTCATTTTGAAGCTGTAAGCTACCACCTTTACATTTTATCACTCTCCATATCTTGACATCGTCAGCATATGACAAGAGCGATAATGATGGGAGACTACGAAGGTCATTTATATACAAGATGAACGACGCCACAAAATTGTACCCTGAGGTGCTCCTCTAAGCACAGTTTTCCAGCTAGACATCGCACTCTTTGTTGGCGCCCAACTAGGAAGTCTTTCATCCACATTAAAAAATAGCATCCAATCCCGACATTACTTAACTTATATAACGGTCGGTTGTGAGGAACTTTGTCAAACACTTTGCTGAAGTTAATGTTGGCTACGTCTATAAGTACATTTTGGTCTTTTAGAGCTCACCAACTTTCACGAGCTACTAATTAGTGCGACAGGAATAACCTGTCCTAAAGCCACTCCGCTTTTCAGAAAGAATTCGGTTTTCGTCGAGATACTTAAAGAGCTTCTGAGTAATACTTTTCAGACTTTTAACAACCACACTGATAAGGTTAGTGAGTCGGTAGTTCTCAGGTTGTTACGTTTCATATCTGTTTTGAAAACAGGAATTACTATGGCGTTCTTTTAGTCTTTTGGTAATTGACTCTGGGTTCCTTTAGTAACCTAATGAATAGCGCTACTCGTCCTTCACGCTTCTGAATTCTGCCAGCTTTTATGAGTGTGAAACCATCAAAATCAAGTTCCCTACTGTATACAGACTGCGTCAACCAAGTTTCTTTGACCGATTACATCAGACTTAGTAGAGTCTATCTGAGCACCTAGCTCCAGTCGCTTGTTAAGTTAGCTCCGGGCATCCGTGTAACAGATCTAGAGATCATTTAAGTGGTTTCGTGCTGCACCCAAAGTGGTTTTGGCATCATTCTCTGCCGAAGCCTCACCTTTCGGAAATTAACAATTTTAAGGTCCTCGCCAGCATCTAACCTTAGTTTTAGTTCTTTTTCAACGTCTCGTCTTTTTATACTGTCCGTGAGCGGCAAGTATTTACAGACAAAATCTCCTGAACCCTTTATTTTATGTCCATTCTGTTGTATTAAGTCCCTTTCATGGGGAGATTTAAATACCACTTTTAGCAGTCTAGTTTGATTCTGTTTCAAATTCATTTTACTACCTAGTCCATAAACCTTTAACGAGGTGACTCTAGAGATATCCTTAGACATAAGCTGATTCAGTAGCTGTCTTATCAACCCATTGTCATGCTCAAAAGTGTTTTAGGTTCTGAGCTCTCACACTCCTTGGTCCTATCAAAGATAAGTGACCTGTCACTGTAATCAAATAGTTCAAATGGTTGTGGATGGAATAGAAGAAGCTTCGTTTTGCGGGTTTCCGTGTCTAGTGGCAGTGGATCGCCAACACCTCCGGACAGGAACCTAAGTATATTAACGATAATGGTTCAGTCTTTAATTTCTCTACTTTTTGGGGTATTGGATTTTCTTTAATAGAATTATGTCATTTCTTGTTCTCGACATGTACTCATTCATCAACTTTCATTGGAGTATGAATCGCAATCGCATTACGCACACTGAGATCCTGGATGATTATCGACGACTTGGGTAGTCAGGCTGTTGTTTCCCCTGCCAGAAACAGGCCTAGCCTTGCGATTAGGTTTTCTAGGCATTTCCTGCTCACTACCACCTAAAAGGCGAGGGACAGAAGAAACTTCCTTTCTCAAGTTTTTATTTCTAACAGACTTCCTTATAGACCATCTTTCCTTCGTTGGTCCATGTAAGTTGATTGACTCTAAGCTTATTTGAGGTGACTCCACATCAATTTGTGCATCGACTGAGCGAGTACTGTGCGATGTGTCTCAGCCTCGTTTGCTAATACATTTTTTGGCAGCACTCACCATTGAAATGGCCTCGGTTAGCAAGCTGTTTGCGTCCGAGTAGCATTGCTGATCCAGCCACACTCAACTATTTTTACTAAACTTTTTGAAAGCCGTAGATGTTAGATTCGCGCAAATTTCGCGGTATCATCCTTTGTACTCATGCCGCTTTCAACGGGGTATCGACAGCCTTGGCGTTGGCAATTGCTTTTCTTGTACTGTCCAGCCATCAAACAGGTTTTCAAAAAGAAACCAGGTACAATAATAACCAGAGACAAAAGAAAGTGATGACCAGAAAAAAGTGGAAAACTGTAAACTGTTAGAATCAGAAGTGCTAGCATATTCAACAGAGATAAAGTACTCAAAAGTACCGTCCATAAACTACTTGAGAAACAAGAACGACACTCTTAGTTGATAATTTAAGTGAAACATATTCAATTTAAGTATAAACAGTGGTTTTGGTATGAAATAAATGGTCAAAACAATAAAATCAACTCCGCGGAAAAATACCACTGTCTGTTTTCAAATAGCACGTCTAGCAATAATGAAATGTATGTTGTGTATTTTTTATTATTTATTTTAACACATAAATACCGGTACAAGAAGGCACTAAGTACATATGCGCCACACAGATCTCATTTGATATGTGTGAGGGCTGTGATACTGCACGGGTGCCAAAACCTAAGCAGGTGGTTTTCTTAGGGGGCCACACCCCGAGCCTTCGACCTGAACGTCTGACCCACAAGGCAGTGGAGCATCGTAAGGAGATGCAGTCCCATGGTAGCCGGTGACCAACGTTTGGTTCATACGTTATTTGTTCCCGCAGGATACTAGAGCCCATGTGCAACATTGGTTTAAGATCCGGTTATAGTGCCAGACATTCGCTTTCCGTCCTCTCATTTTCGTCAACAACACCCCCGTCACGAGAAGGCAGTGAGTAGGACTTCCCTGGAAGAGGCTATATACGCGTGGCTATGTGAGAGCATTTCGAGAGGGAGAGCAGACTCTCCCCACTCTCGGCCATACCATGGCATTTGGGGGTATACACTCCATGAAATTAGTTACGTTCTTGATCTATTGTTGATATATGAGGGTTTACAATTTAGTCAACCCTGTTGGACTGTCTAGACAGAGTGAATCTGTGGTGGTCGGTGTTCGATATATTCCTTAAACTCCGTATACAGTACGTCTCGGTAACCGTCACCAAATAATGCTCCAACGGTATATTAATCAGAAGGCGAATACGAAGCGTTAATTACGTTTATTAAGGGACCACACACAGATATCCAAAATTACAGATGCGTTAAGCAAGCATTAAATAGTTGTGCCGAAAGGCAAACAGGCAAGCGAGCGAGCGAGAGAGAGCAAGGGCAAGAGCGAGCGATCGAGCGAGTGAATGAACGAGCGAGCGAGTCATGAATATGAATAACATGGACATATATATACATAGTGAAATGAATGAATCATCGAGTCAATTAAGCGGTTAATAGTAAAGCTAGTAGCGTGAATAAATGCGTAGGCAGTAAGGCTTGCCGAGCATACGTATTCATACAAGGATAACAATAATAAAGGTACATACATTCGCAACAGTAATAAGGATACAATAAGCTATTATAGTGCAGGTGACTTTGTCCGTTTAATAAGCTAATAAAAGGGCTTAACAGAATTAGGTGAGAGCAAACTCAATTGAATGTGAGTTGCTATAAATCCATTGGGAAGCATTTTGTCAGACCTTGGGAGTATTGTCGACGCGTAATTATTTAAAGCGATGTATGTATTGATGTAAATCTGCTTACTATTGAGCGTACCGTTTCCAGATTTCTTGGGGTCATTGGATATAATATCTCTAAACTCTTGACCTTATCACTTCAGTAGGCTATCTGAGTTTGTTAGTCTCTTGACAAAATAGCTATCTATTTAATTTGCTATATGGTTTTTAAAGAGTATATTTTTACTTATTGTTTAAGGCAATACTCATGGTCTCCTTGTTCCACACTCAACAACTGATCAAGAACTGATTCATTTGACAAATTCTGTGCCAGACAAAGTGAAGGTAGTGCGCGTTGAAGAACGCCTATCAGCTCTTGGGAATATAATTGCTTGCAATGATTATGTAGCCCTCGTTCGTCCAGACCTAGATAAAGTAATAAAATCAAACTTCATAAATTTTTGATGTTTTGAAATTAGTGACCTAACATAATGTTTAATATGGTTTATCAAGCTCAGTTTTGTCGTTATCGACGAACTTAAAAGTTCCAATGCTAATGTTCGATGTCATTCCTAAAATCATTAGTACTCATTAAAAAATTCGAAACTATCTGTTTGTTTATAGTTTGTTTACAGCATTGCTTCCACTTTTTACCGCTCAAAATACAGAAATAACATTGCTATGAAGGGCATTCATGTGTACACTTATTAGTCCGTATCTGACAATTCAATTTTGCATTATTAGTTACTAATAATATGCTTAGTGTAGCAGGTTCGAATTTAGACTACTTCTATAGTTAGAACTGCACATTGCTAATATGTGCGAACTAGCACAAAACTAGCCCAGTGCTTTCTATCGGTTCCCTTCAACACTTAACGTCAAATATACTCAATCTTTTTTGTCGATCCATTAGTGGTCATTTGTCATGTTTCAACTTTTGATCCTATACAACGTGTTATCATGCGGAAATTGATGTTAAAATATTATTTCAGCAGATTAGTCACTACCTGAATAGTCCATTGATGATTTCTTTGGGTTCAAAATGATTTTGTGGGTTCGAATCTCGTCGGAAGCATTAATTACATTAAGACTAGAGATGTCTTGTTAATTGGTGTCAACTGGAACAAAACTTTCTCTCTCCAACCAGTTAATAGTGTTTCGTCTGATCAGAAGACCATTTGAACTGTCAGTTACTTTATCCATAATAATTTTACTCGAAAATTTGGCTACATTAGTGTACGGGTTGGGAATACATCTTCATTAAGCGGGGTCTGAGCTGTCAATCCACCAGTTGATAGTTTAGTGATGAAACCGACGACGATTGCAATTATTTCCAATAAACGCGTCGCAATTATTTACTACTTTATGCAGAAATGATTTCAGGCCAACTTTTCTTAAAATACGGATCTTTAGGTACCTATTGAGAATCAGGGAGGTGTAAGCAGAGACTTTTCAGTAATATTTACCCACGAATCCATTAGATTATCGAAACCAATAGTGGATACGTTACCCGCAGGTCACTGCGTCCAAGTCGAGCTATCTAGGTTCTCAGTTTCAGCCCATTCGTCATACATGACTACTCACACAGTATCGCCGACGGATTACTATTTCCCCTAACCTTGTTAACTCTATAGGTCACAGCTTATTACTAAAATCGTAAAGTACCATGTTACTGCATAACTTAAATGCTCTGTTGTCGATATCATTTCAAATCATGAATGAGCACTACAGTAGTCAAAGTGACCATGCACTTCCCAATGATTGTCCATGTTCATCGTCCCGACTAAATCCTTAAGCGAACTATCGTGGTTGACAACTGGTGCGAACAACTGCTTTTTACTTATTTGTGTGTGGCGCATATATATTTGGTGCCCCCCCCTTGTACCAATATTTATGTGTTCAAATCAATAAATAAAAATATAAATAAATTTTACTTGTTTGATGAATAGGAGTTTACCATATGAAGCAATATAAGAACTTAATTTTATTTCCAGCGGAATTTAGGGTCAGGAAAAGTAAGCAATCTTGTAGTAAATGCTCAATAGAAACACTTGATTTTTCTAGTGTGTTCTGTAACACATGGATATTGCGAAGCTAGATGATAAATCGGTTTTTATACTTTCAAGTAGAGATATAGAAGCAATGGTTTGCTATCGCTTGATTTATTGACAGTCTATGTGAAACTTAACAATAAGTTAACAGCAATTAATATTTTAGTCAAGTCAATGGTTGGCAAATGCACAAATTATTATTAGCTGCCATTTTTTCTTTAAATAGTCAATTTATTGTCTATAATATTCTGTACATGAATTAACATTAATTCCTATAATAATTAGGAGACTGTGGAATTGGTCAGCGACGTGTTGAATGTTGAGGTTTTTTGTGAAGTCATTGCAAATCATCTACTCGTCGGAACATATTGCGTGCTGACAAACCAAGGTGGACTTGTTCATCCTAAAGTTACAGTTGACGAATTAGATCAGTTGAGTAGTCTTCTCCATCTTCCACTGACTGCTGGGACCGTAAACCAAGGAAGTACACTTATTGCAGCTGGACTTGTGGTCAACGATTGGGCAGGATTTTGTGGTCAGAAAACGACAAGCACAGAAATTCAGGTATGTTTATCCATTTTAACTTCTAAGACTTTTTACGTTAACAATGCGATTATCATTGTGTTGCAGCTAACGTAAAAGCTACTTATTTGTAGTCAATGGATACTTTTGGTTTATATTGTTTTGTCAACGCATATGAATTATGACTTACTCTTATTCCCTGTCCATGTTTTTACAGGTGATTGAGTCAATATTTAAATTAGATGGTGAAATGAACGTACTTGTCGCGGATTCAATGCACGATGCCTTGGTCGAAAGGTGAATAATATTTTAAAAAGTTTTTATCAATCACTACACGAAAGAGCTACTTGTTACAAATGTAAAATTTCTGAAACAATACTGTTAAGAACTTTCACAGTCACAATTAAGTCTCTTGTGATGTTATAATTTAGCGGTCAAATGAGTATCAGTGTGGAATATTTACTGGTCATGATGGTGAAATACATTGGGTATTGTATTACCCACCGGTGTTGTGTATCAATCCTTCTAGTTGTTTAAAAATCTACTTTTGCATATCATTACCCCATATCTTGCAGTATCTCATCAACTTATTGGTTCTCAGTCTCGAGTTTTAGACATTTGCGCCTAAACATAAATAGTACGACAGATTAACACTTTCTTTAGTGATCATAGTTGTCTTCTTTGTTTAATGAACATTGAAACGTTACTGTTTGAATCATACATATGCTTATAGCTAACACGGATATTGTGGACTATGTTAACGTTTATTTGGTTTGAAATTCGATTGTTTGGTGAAGTAAACTGTCTTCAAGTAAACAAGAGTTTCCGGTATAATCGGGGAAGTCTAATACTGTTTAAGGGATACTTACAGTTATATGACTTCTACTACTTTTCTGTCACAGTTTACATTAAGGTCAATAGTGTAAACGAAGCTTGTGTTTTATCTCGTTAAACTCAAATTTGGCATACGTCTTTTTTGACTGAAAATGGTATTATCATGTTGTGCTAATGAGGTATGGCAACTTGAACCGATGCGCATGTGTGCCTAGTCCTACGTTGTAACTGACTGACTGATAGTCTTTATCGAATAAATTAAACATGTAATTGGACAGGGAAAGATACTCGGTACGCTTATCCAGCTCCTGAATTGTAATTGTGCACAGGCAGAAATAGTGGTCGATTTTACATATTAGCATTTCGTTTATTTGTGTGCATTAGTGTATACTTATTATTTTTATTAACGTTTGTTTCTTTTCTTCAGCCTTAGCTGATGCACCTGTTGGATTTTATACAGATGTCTCATTTATCCTGTTGCGTATTCCTTCATTCGTGTACATTTATTTCCAAACTTCAAAAATTGGTAACTTTTCATCTCAAAATATGTAAAATGTGCATATACTCTTTGTATAATCAATTTTACACAATTAGACTGATATGATTTCACTTTATATGCGTGTACTCTGCTGCAATTTTCAGTCTTTTGAAAAAAGTGACTTTCAAAACAAATAGTTATTGTTCTTTTAATGAAATTAGCAAAAGTGACTTATCAAAAAACAATTGGGCAGTCAAGACTTGCTTAGGATTAAAGGAAAGAAATATATCTTGCCGTTAGTTCTTCATTGTGCTGTAATATCCATTAAGAGGACTGACAAATATTTGACAAGAAGTTCATACGTTAATTGTGAAAAGGGACTTAAAGTATACACAACCCATGCTGCAAAATTAATGGAATCTGGTGGATGATTCGGGAGGCGTTCAAGTTCACATGATGTCTCGTATTCAATGAGTGGGCAAGTACAAAACTTCTAGTTAAGTTTAACTGTTCTTTAACCAGGTGGTGTAGTGTTAGAATATTCAGTGATGAGCCTGCCATAAAGTTCGTTCTGTCCTACTTTATGGCTGTGAAACATGACCGGTAAGAGTAGAGGATATTCGTAGGTTACTAGTATTCGATCATAGGTGTCTTCGAAGCATTGCTCGTATACCCTGGGACCACCGAGTAAGTAATGTAGTTGTTAAGAAACGGGTACTAGGTAAGGATGGCAAATCAATTGATGAAGTGGCGAAACTTCAGTTGAGATGGCTGGGACGTGTTACGTATGCCCGACCACCGACGTGCGATGTTTTATGATGTAGAAGTAGGTTGGAAGAAAGGTAGCGGCGACCAGACCAAAACATGGCACAAATCCATGAAATCATTGACAAGTGAACTGAGCCATGTTAGTAGGTATAGACTACCTCGTTGGAATCCGCGAGACAATAGCAACTGATGGTTAGACACCCTGAATGATATGGCTCAAAATCGTTTGCAATAGCGTAGGTGCGTCCATTCTGTGTTCTCCCAAACTCTAGTCTTCTGAATTCTTCATGTCGTTTTTTCCTCTTCCGAAATTTATTTCACTGTATTATACTCTTTAAATAACATCTTCAAGCCCTAATCTTTCTGATTACTGCTTATACTTTTACTACCTCTACCACTATGGGATTGGAATCGACAACTGCATCTCTGTGTTAATGTGGTATGGCAACTCGAACTGATGTACGTACGAAGTTCCACGTTGTTACTGACTGACTCATCCCGTAATTTTCTATATATCAAAATGCTACTCTTGTCTTAGACGACTCGTGAGTTTTGATTTAAATAAGCAGTTAAATGACGAGTTTCGAAAGATAAGGAGTTCACTAAGAATCTTGGATAAATGCTTGTTAGTTTATAACCGTACCCAGCGAAACGCTTGTCAACATTAACATTCACTCTAGCTTCTAAATTTAGCAAATTTTCAGACTAGTAATGAAGAGAACTTTGTGTTTGACATCTGGTAGAGATTAGTTTCGATTAGGGTGTTTGGGGAATTTCGTCTTACAGTATTCCTACTATTTATCTAATGTAAATCGATTTTCCTTACGGTTGTGGAATGGAGCTTGTGTGAGTTTAAACAGAGATATATCCAAATTTTCCAAAACGAAAGGATTTGACTGCCAGAATCTCGTAACATGTAGGTTCCCATTCCTAACGTTTGTTCATCTGCAAGCATAAAGCAAATATTTCACTAGACCAACATTTAATCAGAATGGTGGTTATCATTGATAACAGCAGCTACTGAACACCTGTAGAGTTCTTTGATTAGAACAGCAAATAAATCGTGTTAAGTCAAATCTACGCTGAGATTTAGTGTACCTAGCAATCACTTCAGCTCAATTGTTCAACAGCTTTTTCTAACTTTTATAGTTAATATGATAGAAATGAATGCATTCATAAAATTTTGCGTTAAAAATGAGTACTCAATCGATGATATTTTATCAATCGAGAATTTTGCATATTCGAAAGCATGAGCAACTGATGTTTCCTAACATTACCAATTGAGTTGAAATTCGAAATATACTTGTCATTCCGTGACATTAATCAACTTAGGAAATTATTGACAGACAAATAGAAAAAGAAATAATAAAACAAGTAATTTTCTCAATAATTTAGAACATTGATTTGCATACAATAGAAAACTTTCTAACGATTATGAGTTACCACAAGGAATTTACTAAACTTTAAATAACTACGCTTGATTATATTTTTGTGCTAATTTTTCTAAAAAATTGTACTCTGTTTATAGTTCATTGTTAATTGGTAAATATTTATATTTAGCGTATGCGCCACATGAAGAGTGTATACTTCGAAATTTGAATAACAATTTTTAGTGTTAACGAACTGAGTAATACATTGAAACTATGAATAGCAGAAAAATGAATACAATAAAAAAGATAAAAACCATATTGTAATAAAACAAAATGAATTTACTTTACTGACAAAAGAGTACACTGATGTCACGTATGTGTGAATAAATGACAGAAGTAGTAGAAGGAAAATAAGATATGAGATTATGTATACACACATACATATATTCTTCATTATAAAGTTAAGGATAGCAATTTACTAAATTGTTAACTCTTCAAATATCCTACATGTTTATATTACTGAACTAAACAAGCGAATATATATATATATATATATATATATATATATATATATATATATATATATATATATATATATATATATAATACTAAATTCTATGCATATTGTAGTGTTACGAAATAATACAAACGTTCATTATGAAGAATATCATTACAGAGGACGACAAAATTCAAGTGATGTTAAGAGAAATGTGGTTTATGTTTAACTGATTGAAACTGTGCACGACTAAAATAGAAATGTGAGGTAGAATTATCAAGAATTATTGGTATTAGATGTGAAGAGTTCTGTTCCCACCATACGTTGTAATTACGATACACGTTAGTTGTTTTTTTATTTGTTACAAAATAATACAATGAATCTACAGAAGACGTTGAATAATTTTTGTAACAATTTGACTAAATAGATCAAAAGAGGAAGAAAAGGCGCGGTCGAGGAAAGATAAGCCACAAAAAAAATTAAAGAAACACAGCTGCCACCTCTAATCTCTCAGCATGTGATTTCTCTTGCAAAACAGCTATTAGACCAATTCCGTAACGACTAGTTGATGTTTTCAAGGGGGCGGGTATACAAAATGAAAGGTGGGAACTGAACAGATTATTTGAAGAAAATGATAGAACACAAAAGAAACAGTTGGCTATTTCAATTTCATCTGTTGTAGAATCTAAGCACAATGAAACGATTCACAAAGACAAACAGGTCAAACGGAGAACCAGAAGTAACGTTGAATTAATTGTTATTATTATTATTATTATTTAGGATGAAAGGTAACAAGGATTAACTTTTAGGTTTCCATATCACTTTTGTATTACACTTGAATTATGGACAATAACAAGTTTCAGCAGTACGAAAGTGTGATTAGATTCATCATGAAAACGTAAACATCTCACGAGAATACAATTACAATATCTATTTGAATACAGGAGAAGAATGATTGCAAAACTAAAGATGAATAATTATTTATGTAACTAAAATTAAATTGAATAGTAGAGCTAATCAAAATAAACATTGAACAATGTAACAAACTATGACAGATTTAAAAGGAACAGCAGTTTATGAATTTTAAAGATAAAATTAGTAAGAATAAACAGAATGATTTAACTGTGAGCAAAACAAAAACTTGACACGTTTTACAACTAGATTATGTTTTTTGTTTCATGAAAATGTACTTTATATCATTAACATGAGGATAATCAGCATACATGCACACACACAAAATTCAGTATTATTATTACTAATATTTATTCAGAAAATGCAGTGATTACTTCACGTCCTGTTCCACGTACCAATAATATACGAGATAAGCCATCTGTCAATGTTTCAATATAATCCATATAATAATATTCACTTCCTAAAGTACGTGATGGTCCAGGCATGTTTACAATGACTAAGTCTGATTCACTAGAGTGAGTGCGTAATAATTCATTTAAACGTACAGCACAGTGTAAGCGACGTTGAGTTCTAGTTCTGGGATAAAGAAAGATTATAAAGAGTATAAAGTTAAGGTAAATAGTTTACAATAAATTAGCGGAATTTATTTATTTAAACAAGGCCGAAGGAAAACTAATGTTGATGTATAAAATTTTACAGTATTACAATTATATGATTGTAAAAATGTATTGATTTATGTGTAAGTTAATAAAATTATAAGAAATCAGTTTGTGAAGAATAGGGGACCCAAAAATTTACTTAACAGTTCCAAATGGAAAACGAAACTACAAAATAGAAAAGGCGAATAATGACTATTTTTTTAAAATAATTTCCCTATATGGGAAAAGATAGCGAAGTTCATTTGTAGGATTATCGTTTAAAGTCGTATTTCGCAGTTTTTAATAATCAACACTAGTTGTGAATAGGCACTGGGTCCATATCCATTTCTACTAATTCAGTTAGTTGGTAAAGTATTTTCAATGTTGAAATTATAAAGAGTATGGGTGCTTTGATAATATTGTGTTCTTTGATCTAGACAGTTCAATTTTGAAGGGTTCATTGTCATTTTTGGGTAATATCAGCAGCACCTTAATCATGTAGAAGATTTTTAATTAAACTTTTTAACCCAGAAAACACAAAACTAATGATACTTCGAATGCATTGACAAAACCTGGTCAATTTGTACATACATACTGATGCTGCGTTAATACATTGCTGAAGTAGTGGTAGTTAAATGTCGGTAATTTAGAACTAACAGTAAATGGAAATATAAAAATCATTTTACTTTATGAACAACTTTAGAATTTTTGTTGTTCTTCCGTAACTAATTCTTTCTTCCTGTACTATTTCCTTATATGCAATCTTTCTTCTATA